CGCGGACGCCGCTGCAGCTGCATCTGGCCACCGCCAGAAACTCCCCACCAAACAGCTCCAGAGCGAATGCTAGTACGGCCGCCACCACTCCCACTGCTGCCACCACCGCCGTCACCACTCCCACCGCTACGACAAAGAGAAGTCATACCGGGCAAGCTAGGAGGCACACGAGGGCGGCTAGCAGGCACCATGGCCGCAAGAGGGCGGCGAGCTGGCCGCAGGCAAGCGGCGAGCGGGCAGCAAGGGGTGGCTAGGGGGCTAGGGGCAGTGGGCGGGGCTGCAGGGGCGGCGAGAGGGCCGCAAGGGGTGGCGCGCGGGGCTGCAGGGGCGGCTCGCGGGCTGCAGGGGCGAAGTGCCGGCCGCAAGGAGCTGCAGGGGCGGCGTGCATGGCTGCAGGGGCTGCGTGCGTGGCTGCCTAATTGGGTACAAGTACTAACCCTAATTGGGTTGTACCCCGTATGGGCTACCCCACTACAGCCTACACAAATGTATAAGCTATAATGTTCTGACAGTTTCATGGTGGTTTATGTGGATGACATCCTCATTTTCTCACCCTCCTCTGACCTTGTGAAGGAGGTGATGCTGAAGCTTCAAGCCAAGTTCAAGTGCAAGGCCCTTGGTGACGTGAGCTTCTATCTTGGGCTCCACATCGAACGAGATGTGGAGAAGCGGTGCATGCGGGTGCATCAACGGAAGTACCCGGAGGCATTGGCTGCCAACTTTGGGCAGAGTGAAGGCCATGTGGCTACACCGTTTCCCTCTGGATTCAAGTGTGTGAAGGGACCAGAGGAGGAGAGCGTTGGTGAAGAGGAGAGGCGCCGTTTTCACTTGTTGGTGGGCAGCCTCATGTACACGACGGTAAACACCCGACCGGACGTCGCCTTTGCATCCGGACAGTTGGCTATGGTTGTTCAATGCCCTAATGAGGAGCAGGTAGCTGCTGGAATGAGGGTGGCCAAGTATCTTGGCCAAACAGCGACGGTTGGGCTGCAATACTCGGCGGCGGCGCAAAGACGCCAAAAGGGCGCGGATGGTGTTGAACCCGGGCGTTTGTTCCTCACCGCATTCTCGGATGCTTCTTATGCATTGGAACCAGAGGACATGACAAGTGTTGGAGGGTTCATTTGCTGTGTTGGTGGAAGCCCAACTGCTTGGGAGAGCAAGAAGCAGGTGGATCAAGCATTGAGCTCGGTGGAGTCCGAGTACATGGCACTCTTCCGTGCCGTACGGGAGATTGTGTGGCAGCGGCGTTTGTTGGCTGAATTGGAGGAGGAGCAGCAAGGACCTACCCCACTCTACTATGACAGCCAGGGTGCCATTGCTCTTGCTAAGAACCCTGTGTTGCATGGCCTCACGAAGCACATGAGGGTGAAGTGGCGTTGGATGAGGAGCATGGTGGCCGCGGGTGAAGTTGAGTTGCGCTACGTGAAGACGACGGGGCAGCCAGTTGACATGATGACCAAGAGGCTGGTTGAGCAGTAGCATTGGAAGTGTTGCAAGCTGGCTGGGATGGCTCTGAACTGAGAGAACCAGATCCTAAGGCCAACAATCCGAGGGGGAGTTTGTTGGTGCAACCCTAGGGTTTGCACTCGGCTTGTTGTCCGTGTGCGTGCATGCGTGTGTGCATGGAATGGTATGAGAGCATGAGATAATATATATTTCATGCTTACAATAGTGTGTGAATGATGAGGCATGATTTTTGAATGTGTGTGTTGAGTCAATAGCGAGTTATCGCTAGTCGCGTGTCACGTCGTCGTCTGCGTGTCGTGTACGGTTTTCTATTTTGTCGTGTGTGGAACGTTCGATGTGTCGCAGGTGTGCGCATAAGAATTCCAAGAACTCAAGGAAGAATTGATCTTGAAGAACCAGAGCCTTGGTTTCACGATTCAAGTGATTTCGAAGCACTCCAAAAGGGTAAACTTCAAGATAGTGAGAATAGTTACATTACTTTGTGTAGTGTAACATTTCTCTTGGTATAGTCCCTTGTGGAGGGTATTTTCAAGACCTTTGGTGGTTGGGGACAGTGTGGCACTATTCCACATCACTGTACCTCGGCTCTTGGGGTTTGTAGGAGTTGGGAGTCATTCCCAACACATAACTCTTCCTAATTTGTGTTCTAAGACTATAGTGGCTGCCATAGTGCCGTTCGTTCAAACCAACGTTGCGTCATCAATACTTAATGAAATCGTGCAATCTAAATTGCCTAGTGTGGGCGACGTAATTACGCTCCAGATCCAGTTTATTGCAAGTCATTTGAAGTTGTGAACAGAACGCTATGAACGTTTGAAGCCGCTGTGCAGAAATCCGTCTGTGCATTCTATCTTTCATTTTAGGCACATTCAAGCCTATTGTGACTATAAAAGGAGATCGAACAAAGCCTTGTGTGGAAGCAGGCGACTCTACCGATCGCCCTGGGGGGACTGGGACTGGTCAAACCGCTCTCGGAGGCGCCAATAGCGTTCTTGGCCTCGCTGAACGTGGTGCAGACACTTTCTCTGAAGGCCACCACCACGCCCTGCCACCCACTTCAGCACGTGGCGGCACTGCTATCGCCACATGAGGATGGAGGAGGGGCCGGGGGGAGAACGACCTTACGGGACCTGCGGAGCAGGCTGCCAGAGGCGGCGCGGGAAATCCTGAAGGAGGCCGGCCATAAGAGGGAGAGGAAGGGCCACCTGCAGGAACAGCTGTCCAAGCACGTGAACCTGGACCGGGCGGCAGAGTGTCAGAATATTATTGTATACATCACTTTATAACTGCCTGCAATGTAGACTTAGTGTAGTTATCTTGCTTGTTAGGTGGTGCACCTTGCTTCACTTCTTTCATATTTGTACCCTTGAACCTATAGTGAAACCCTCATTCTCCTTTACAATTTTCTCGACACTCTCCTCACCCTCAAACTTAACTACCAAGGCTCCTAAGCTATGGCTCCCAAGCCCACCTAACTCTACCTACTACTCTCACATGGAATCAGAGCGACTACGCTCTTGGCCTGTGGGCCCCACGTGCTTCCGCTGCTTTCTTTTCTGTCGCGCGCCCCTTGGCGCGCGACACTTTTTTCTTCCCGCCACGCGCTCGGGGCGCGTGGCGGTTTTCCGCCCGCCGTGCGCCCCGGACGCGCGGCGTCTTCCAGCCCCGACGCCGCCCTTCTCGGCCCCTCACGGCCTCTTCGCGGCCCCGTCGCTGCTCCTCTCACGGCCCCTCGCGCTACCCTCAGTGGCCCCATCGCCACACTTCGCGGCCCTGTCGCCGCCCCTATCGGCCCTGTCGCCACTCCTAGCGGCCCCGTCGCCGCCCCTAGCGGCCCTGTCGCCGCCCCATCTCGGCACCGTTGCCGCTCTTCGCGGCCCCGTTGCCGCCCCTAGCGGCTCCGTTGCCGCCCCTTGTGGCCCTGTCACCTGCTCGTCGCGGCGCACCCCCCCCTGGCCGCCGCCTCTGCCTCCCTTGCGCCCGTGCCTGCTTTGCAGCAGCGCGCGGGCCTGCCTTGCAACAGCAGCCGCCCCTGGAGCAGCCACCCCAGCAGCAGCCGCCCCAGCAGCAGCCGCCCCTGGAGCAGCCGCCACTGCAGCAGCCGCCCCTGGAGCCGCCGCCCCTGGAGCAGCCGTCACTGCAGTAGCCGCCCCTGGAGCCGCCACTGCAGCAGCAGCCCCTGGAGCAGCCGCCCCAGCAGCAGCCGCCCCTGGAGCAGCCGCCGCTGCAGCAGCCGCCCCTGGAGCAGCCGTCACTGCAGCAGCCGCCCGTGGAGCCGCCACTGCAGCTGCAGCCCCTGGAGCAGCCGCCCCAGCAGCAGCCGCCCCTGGAGCAGCCGCCGCTGCAGCAGCCGCCCCTGGAGCCGCCGCCCCTGGAGCAGCCGCCACTGCAGCAGCCGCCCCAGCAGCCGCTACCCCTGCAGCAGCCGCCCCTGAAGCGGCCGCCCCTGCAGCAGCCGCCCCTGGAGCAGCCCGCAACTGCAGCAGCCGCCCCTGGAGCAGCCCGCACCTGCAGCAGCCGCCCCTGGAGCAGCCCTCACCTGCAGCAGCCGCCCCTGGAGCAGCCTGCACCTGCAGCAGCCGCCCCTGGAGCAGCCCGCACCTGCAGCGGCCGCCCCTGGAGCAGCCCGCACCTGCAGCCCGTCCCGTTCCCCCCCCCCCCCCCGTGCATTCCGTGGTGCTGGGGGTGTGGGGTGCCGAGCATGGGGGTGGCGGGTGTGGGGGTGGCGGTTATGTGTTCCTCCCCTTACTCCTCCTCCTCCCTCGTCTCCCACTGCTGCAGCTGTCGCTGAGGGGGGTGGGTGTGTGGGAGCCTAGGGTTTAGGGTTTAAGGGGGGTGCTGTGGGAGTGGAGCTAGGGTTTGAACAGGGAGTGTGTGAGAGGGGAGTGGGGCAGCTGGGGGAGGTTGTGTGAAGGTAGCTCTCGTGTCGCCTGCAGCGCCTGTAGTCCGTCGCCCTTGCTTCGGTAGCCAGTGAGCCTGTTGCACCAGTCGCCAGTGGGTCCGTTGCTCCTGCCGCTCGTCTATAGCCGCGGAGCCAGTCACTCCAGTAGTCCGTCGCCCTTGCTTCGGTAGCCACTGAGTCAGCCCGGCCAGCCCATAACACTCGCCGGTGGTAACCACCTCTTCACCGGCGCCTGTGGCACGCGCTTCTCCTTCCCCGGGCGGCGGGAGGGGTCGTTTTGCGTGCTGTCTGCCGCCCGGCTGCATGTGAACGCGCGGCTGCGCGGGTACGAGGCAATGCGGCCGCCCCTGGCTGGGCTGGGGCCGGACGGCGGCATGGGCATGAGCAGAACGTGGATCAAGTAAGTGGGAGAAATGCGGTGGAGGGGTGGAGAGGGGTGTATTGTTGACGCCCCCTTGAAATGCGCTGTGGGCGGACGGCGGCATGGGCATGAGCAGAACGTGGATCAGGTGAGTGGGAAAAGTGCAGTGAGAGTGGTGGAGAACGGTAGAGTGGGTTGGAGAGGGGTGGAAAGGGGTGTGTTGTTGATGCCCTTTTCAAATGCGCTGGGGCGGACGGTGGCATGAACATGAGAAAAACGTGGATCACATGGGGTGCAGGAGATCTATGCGGTGGAAAGGGGTGGAGAGGGGTGGAGTGGGCCGGGGGCGGATGGCGGCATGGGCATGAACCAAACTTCAGGTGAGGGAAAGATATCGGTGGAGTGGGTGGAGAAGTGTGGAGAGGAGTGGAGAAGCATAGAGTGGGGTGGAAAGGGGTGGAGAGGGCTGTGTTGTTCAGGTGCCGCAAACTGGAACGGGGAGCTGTTCAATCTGTTGCCTGTGTTTCAGCGTTAAGGGTTCTTGCCATCCCGCCAGGCACCCATTGTAATGTAAATGCCCCCCCCCACCTTCCCCCTTCCCTTCCCCCCAACTCAACCCCAGGGGTTCTTGCTGCCCCGTCAGGCACCCCTTAGTGATGTAAATGAACCTCCCCTTCCCCATTTCCTCCACCCAACCCAACGCCAGGAAAGCGTGCCACCGCACCAGGCATCATCGGTTAGCCACGTGATGAAATTGTGTTTTTGAGACGTCTCAAAAGCGTGCTGCCTCACCAGGCTCCCCCCGGTTAGGTGAATAGCTTTTTCCCTCCTCCCTCCCCACGCTCCCCCCCTCACCCGTCTGTCTGTCTGCCTGCATGTGTGTACCCACAGGGAGCTGGGCGTGCTGTGGGCCGTGCCCAACCCAAAGGACCCTCGTCGCCCCACAGTGCATCGCCTGCACCTTGTGGCGCGCAGCGGCAAGCTGCACCCCAAGCGCCGCCAGTCCGCCCCTCCTGCTGCCAGTAAGGGCAAGAAAGGCAGCGACGCCGCTGTGAACGGCACAGCGGAGCCGTTTCTGCTACGCGTGGCGTATAACAACAAGCAGCTGCCCGTGCCATTTGTGATGGGGGAGGTGGTGGAGGGAGCGGGAGGGAGTGTGCTGGCGACAAACGGCAGTGGGTATAGTGCGGGGGTGAGCAGTAGTAGTGGGTGGATGGCTGATGTGGGGGGGAGGGTGGAGGATGGGAGAGGGATCGGCAGCTGCGACGGCAATGGGGATAGGGATGGGTGCAGTGGGTTTACTCTGCGGTTGGAGGAGGTGGAGAAATTCGGGCAGTTTGCTGTGGAGCGGTACGAGCTGGCGGTTGCTGACGTGGCGAGGATGATCATACGCGCACGCGTGGCACACCCGATGCTGCAGACGCCAACAGACTCGCAGGCACATTTCAGCGTTGAGTTTCTACTGGTGGATGCTAGTCCAGGCATGCATGGGGTGCTGGGGCAAACTTACCAGCAGACGCGAGAGCGAGCGGCAAAGGTGGCAGAGGTGGTTGAGAGAGCAAGGCGGACTGGGCTTCCGGAGATGACTGATGAGGAGGCTGGGAAGGGGTTTTTGGATGGGGAGGTGGAGGACTATGAGTCGAGCCACATCGGGGCGCCCAATTGTAAATTCACGCGGTTCGGCAAGAAGTGAGGCTCAGGAAGGAGTGTGGTTTGGCAAGGAGAGGGGTTAGGTAAGGTTGGCAGGGAGGTTTGATGAATAGGGAAGGCTGGCAAGCAGAGAAGCTCGGTTTAGCCAGCAGTAACGAGTGGCAAGTTGGGAGGCTTACTACATGAAGAGCAGCAGAATAGGGCAGGATAGACTTTGTTGTCTGCTGTGCTGTACCTTGGTTTAGTCTGGCTGGACTGTACAGGGCGGTGTACATTTTGTCTTCCAGGACAGTCCTTTGTATTGTATGGGTGAACTGCTAAAAAATTTTGCTGGCGTGTGGGTTCCGATTGGGTAATAGAAAGGAAAGACGGGTAAGTGTTCCGGATTACCTGTCATCAAGTGTCGCCCACCTGTCGATGGTGGAAGTCAAGGTGACAAGCAGGGTCGTCGCTAGCAGAAATTTTCTGTCTGTTTGTCCGATATTCAGACAGATTTTTACTAGTTCATCTGATTTTCCAGAAATGAATTTTTGAAATTTCTGATTCATAAGAAATGTTTTTTGAATTCATCTGATCAATCAGGAACCTGTTCTGGTTTCGTCTGATACCGTATTACCCCGGATATAAGCGCACCTGCGCTTATAATAAAACAGTGTTTTTTTGGGGGGTGCGCTTATAATTGAGTAAAAATTATAAGCGCATGCGCTTATAATATAACAAATACAAATATATATTTCAATGCACCAAATTGTACATCTCATCCTTCAGATTTCATTCGAATCGAAATTGTAGAAAGTCACATGTCAAAATCGCGCGCGGGCGATTCTTCGCGAGCGCCCAGAGACAAAATACAGTGTAACACCTCACTTTGAGGGCGTGCCAGCTCGTGCTGACTGGACGCGCAGGATGTGAGAGGTCTTCGAAAGTCAATGTAAGCGAAAATGGGTTGTGGCCTCGCTGCAAAACTAAGATTCGTTACCGTTTTAATGAAGAATTATAAATAAAATTACACATGCGTTTATAATATATCAGGGTTTTATAAGGGGTGCGCTTATAATTGAGGATCGGCCATAAGCGCATTGCTCCAGATACAAGCGCATGCGCTTTTAATAGGCCTGCGCTTATATCCGGGGCCATACGGTACCGAGTTCCTATGTAGAAGGGTGTTTCGTGTGTGAATGGAGTTCGGTTGTTTGTCTGGACCGTTACTTAACCCTGTCACTGTGTACAGAAGTAGCCTACCGTAGTTTGTTGCGATTGGCTTCACAATGGTGAGCATCAGAGTTCGCGTCCCAAAGTCGCGCGTTCTTCTTTGCAATTCCTTCGTAAGGTACAGAACACTGTGAAATGAGGAGGGCTCTAAGAAAATAAATCAGAAATTGAATTTTAAAAATTTCTGATTCAGCAGAAATGTTTTGAAGGAAAGTCTGATGCATCAGACAGAAAAAACCACGCCATCTGATGCATCAGGCAGGCTCAAAACCTAAGGATGACCCTGGTGACAAGGTCCAAAGATGAGTGTCGGATAGTGTTTCTTGAAAATGTTGACTTGAAAATGCCTCAGAAAACACCAGTTGTTTTTTTTTTTTTAGAATCACTGATCAATCATACTAGCGTGTATGATAAATCTTGGAAAATGTGAGTGTACTCGTGAGATTAAGTTTTATACGGAATTCCAAGGATAAAACCCACAACATTTCCAATTCCGAAGCAAGACACTCTTTACGAGCAGACATTGTGCGTTCTCAAGGTCGGCGTGCAATTCCAAATCCCACCATCGAAACAGATCCCGTGAGCTCCCCATCACATAACCACCGAATTCGTTGTTGGTTCGCTGCCGCGTCGCCCGCCGCCCTTCGCGCCACGCCTCGGTTTTCAAACGCGTCTTGCAAGCGACGGCTTTGATCGGGCCTCGCGTGGGCAAAGTACTCATTTCTGCATAGTGCCGCTGCGGCGTTCGAAGGAAGCAGCCATGACTCTGAAGGGTGGGTGGAGTCGCGTCGATCAGCCGTGCTGGCTAAGGAAGCACCCATGACTCTCCTTTGCACCCACAGTCTTCTGGACGTCGCGCTAAAATCAGATCCGCTGAATGGGATTTGCAGCGACTTCGCAAGTTACCATCAAAGGACTGCAAAATAATTTAGAATCGTCAAGCTTCCAGTCCCGTCGGGTTCTGGATCTGCTCGAATTCGGAAAATTCGCATTCAGCCCGCGTTGTTGCGAGCAGGTCGAGATCCGCGTCGGACTCGCTATAATCACATGGAGAGCTGTTAGGCGGAACTTTAATGCCTCTCTGATGGCCGCCACTTGGCACACAAAGTCGCAGATCCGTCGCTTTTCTTCAGCCTGTCCTCTTCTACACCCTTTCTCTTCCCGGAAGAGACGATTTCTATATCACTGCTTACTCTCCGCGTCTTCCCCTCCTAGTACACGCCCTCCAACGAGCGCCACGTGGCACAACGAGGCAGATCAACGAATTAGGATGCTTTCGGCGCCCCCGTTTCCCCCCCCACCTCCTTCTCCGCGCGTCGCGAAAGGAATCCACTCCCGAACCACTAAAACCACTGCGCGAAACGGATGTAACCGGAGCCGCTGGGTGGCCTTCGTGAAAGTTCGCCGAGGATACACCTCGTCCCACGCGATTCCCGATCCTTTCTAATCCTCCCCATACCCTCTCCCCTTCCTCCCTTCCCCCCGCGCACCCATCCCCACCTCCCCCTTTCCCCCTTCATCCCCTTCCTTCACCGTCCACCGCACTCGGACATCCTCCAGCGAAAGCGCAAGGGGCGCCCCGCCGTTGAGGATTGACATCAGCGGATTCCTCTGGTCGTCCCTTCCCCCCCCCCCCCCCCCCCCCTTCCCTCCCCCCTTCCCCCCCTCCCCCCCTCTCTTGCATACCTTCCCTTTCCTTTCCCCTCCTTCCCAGCTCCTTCTGTTCCGCGTCTACACCCAACCCCTTCTCCCCCCTGCTTCCGCGTCCCAGGGAGCGCGCACTGGCAGCGGGTGGGGAGATTCCCAGCGAGTGGCATGGCCCTCTGCCCTGCCCCTTGCTCATTCCATCCCCTCCCTGACTCCCCACGCCCTTTGCTTGTCACTCGATTCTAGAAAGCGCCCCTAGCGAAGTTATGGATGTGTGCCCCATTATTCCCCTTCTTCACTCCCACGTGCCTTTTCAGCCGTCAACCCTTCCCTTCCTCACCCCCTCTCCCTGTTTGCGACCTCTCAAAAGCCTCTTTCCTGAACCCCTTCTCAAACCCCTCTCAAACCCTAACCAGAGCCGCCCGTCCTGACTGGCGCCCGTTTAAACCTCTCAAAAGCCTCTTTTCTCAACCCGTCCTCAAACCCCCCTCCCCCAAACCCTCCCCCCCATGAAGTGGTAGAAGGAGGTGCTACCCGTGGTGACTTCTCAGTTGACTCCCCTCCAACCCTTCCAACCCCTCCAACCCTTCCAACCCCTCCAACTCTTCCAACCCCTCCAACCCCTCCAACCCCTCCAACCCTTCCAACCCCTCCAACCCCTCCAACCCCTCCAACCCCTCCAACCCCTCCAACCCCTCCAACCCCTTTAACCCCTATAACCCCTCCAACCCCTCTCCCTTTCCCGCCCCCCCCAGTGA